TAGACCTTATCTGCAGCTAGACCTTGTTGTCTGCAGCTAGACCTTGTCTGCAGCTAGACATTGTCTGCAGCTAGACCTTATCTGCAGCTAGACCTTGTTGTCTGCAGCTAGACCTTGTTGTCTGCAGCTAGACCTTGTCTGCAGCTAGAAATTGTTGTCTGCAGCTAGACCTTGTCTGCAGCTAGACCTTGTTGTCTGCAGCTAGACCTTGTTGTCTGGAGCTAGACTTTGTCTGCAGCTAGACCTTGTCTGCAGCTAGGAATTGTTGTCTGCAGCTAGACCTTATCTGCAGCTAGACCTTGTTGTCTGCAGCTAGACCTTGTCTGCAGCTAGACCTTGTCTGCAGCTAGACCTTATCTGCAGCTAGACCTTGTTGTCTGCAGCTAGACCTTGTTGTCTGCAGCTAGACCTTGTCTGCAGCTAGACCTTATCTGCAGCTAGACCTTGTTGTTTGCAGATAGACCTTGTTGTCTGCAGCTAGACCTTGTCTGCAGCTAGACCTTATCTGCAGCTAGACCTTGTTGTCTGCAGCTAGACCTCATCTGCAGCTACACCTTGTTGTCTGCAGCTAGACATTGTTGTCTGCAGCTAGACCTTGTTGTCTGCAGTTAGACCTTATTGTCTGCAGCTAGACCTTGTTGTCTGCAGGTAGACCTTGTTGTCTGCAGGTAGACCTTGTTGTCTGCAGCTAGACCTTGTTGTCTGCAGCTAGACCTTGTTGTCTGCAGCTAGACCTTGTTGTCTGCAGCTAGACCTTGTCTGCAGCTAGACCTTGTTGTCTGCAGCTAGACCTTTTTGTCTGCAGCTAGAACTTGTTGTCTGCAGCTAGACCTTGTTGTCTGCAGCTAGACCTTGTTGTCTGCAGCTAGACCTTCTCTGCAGCTAGACATTGTTGCTTTGCAGCTAGACCTTGTTGTCTGCAGGTAGACCTTGTTGTCTGCAGGTAGACCTTGTTGTCTGCAGCTAGACCTTGTTGTCTGCAGCTAGACCTTGTTGTCTGCAGCTAGACCTTGTTGTCTGCAGCTAGCCCTTTTTGTCTGCAGCTAGACCTTGTTGTCTGCAGCTAGACCTTGTTGTCTGCAGCTAGACCTTGTTGTCTGCAGCTAGACTTTGTTGCTTTGCAGTTAGACATTGTTGTCTGCAGCTAGACCTTGTAGCCTGCAGGTAGCCCTTGTTGTCTGCAGGTAGACCTTGTTGTCTGCAGGTAGACTTTGTAGCCTGCAGGTAGCCCTTGTTGTCTGCAGCTAGACCTTGTAGTCTGCAGGTAGCCCTTGTTGTCTGCAGGTAGACCTTGTTGTCTGCAGCTAGACCTTGTAGTCTGCAGGTAGCCCTTGTTGTCTGCATGTACCTTGTTGTCTTCAACTAGACTTTGTAGTCTGCAGGTAGCCCTTGTTGTCTGCAACTAGGCCTTGTTGTCTGCAACTAGGCCTTGTTGTCTGCAACTAGGCCTTGTCGTCTGCAGCTAGACCTTGTTGTCTGCAGCTAGACCTTGTTGTCTGCAGCTAGACCTTGTTGTCTGCAACTAGGCCTTGTTGTCTGCAACTAGACCTTGTTGTCTGCAGCTAAACCTTGTTGTCTGCAGCTAGACCTTGTTGTCTGCAAATAGGCCTTGTTGTCTGCAGCTAGACCTTGTTGTCTGCAGCTAGACCTTGTTGTCTGCAGCTAGACCTTGCTGTCTGCAGCTAGACCTTGTTGTCTGCAGTTAGACCTTGTTGTCTGCAGCTAGACCTTGTTGTCTGCAGCTAGACCTTGTTGCTTTGCAGTTAGACCTTGTTGCTTGCAGCTAGACCTTATTGCTTGCAACTAGACCTTGTCGCTTGCAACTAGACCTTGTTGCTTGCAACTAGACCTTGTTGCTTGCAACTAGACCTTGTTGTTGCAACTAGACCATGGTTGCTTGCAACTAGACCTTGTTGCTTGCAACTAGACCTTGTTGCTTGCAACTAGACATTGTTGCTGGCAACTAGACCTTGTTGCTTGCAACTAGACCTTGTTGCTTGCAACTAGACCTTGTTGCTTGCAACTAGACCTTGTTGCTTGCAACTAGACCTTGTTGCTTGCAACTAGACATTGTTGCTTGCAACTAGACATTGTTGCTGGCAACTAGACCTTGTTCCTTGCAACTAGATTTGTTGCTTGCAACTAGACCTTGTTGCTTGCAATTTAGACCTTGTTGCTTGCAACTAGGACCTTGTTGCTTGCAACTAGACATTGTTGCTGGCAACTAGACTTTGTTGCTTGCAACTTGACTTGTTGCTGGCAACTAGACCTTGTTGCTTGCAACTAGACCTTGTTGCTTGCAACTAGACATTGTTGCTGGCAAGTAGACCTTGTTGCTTGCAACTAGACATTGTTGCTGGCAAGTAGACCTTGTTGCTTGCAACTAGACCTTGTTGCTTGCAACTAGACCTTGTTGCTTGCAACTAGACATTGTTGCTTGCAACTAGACCTTGTTGCTTGCAACTAGACCTTGTTGCTTGCAACTAGAACATGTTGAGGGGTAAATAAAGGCCTCTTTTATGGCCTTTTGTTTTCCTACGGTTCCAGACTTATGGTTCACCATGTAATGTTTCAATGGAGAAACTGAGTATGAAATTACAATTAAATAAAATAAGTGGTAATGCCGTGTGGGTGACGCTGAGTGCCGACTTGGTCGATAAAATAACGCATAGGAAAAGGAGACTTATTATTACCACGTTTCTTCCCTACAAGAGATCTGTAGGCGAAACGTCGTAATAATGGAAGGTTCATTCTCGCCATGGAGCGGAGTAAGCTCCATCTCCTGGTTCATGTCCTAGATCAGTGGTTCTCAAGCTTTTTCTCTGGGCCGCACTTCTGGAATACTACTCCTAGTAGTGTTTGATTTATAGCATAGAACACAGCTACTTTATGGTATATTCGTGGGATATCCAGAAAGTATAAAATAATACAGCTACATGTAAACCTGGTTCATTCCCAGAATATGCTTATAGACGAGTCTCTTACCCATGTAAAGAAGAAATAAATGGCAATACCATGATGGAACAATACACGGATAACCCGTACATAGGAAAAAGAAGCTTAGGACGACGCTTCGGTCCGACGTGGACCATTTACAAGAATCACACTGTGACTTTGTAAATGATTCAAGTTGGACTGAACCATCGTCATAAGCTTCTCTCTCTTCCTTTCCTATGTGCGGGTTATTTGTGTACTCTTACATATCTAACCCTGAGTAAGTATACAGACTCAATGAGAGGTGTGAGTTTGTTTTTGTCGAGTAATCTCATTTATATTAGGTCTAATTTGAGACAAACTCCCATCTCCTCATCAATACAAAGAAGCCTTTCTCTTCTCTGGTCTTTGATATTTGCCAGAGCTGAAAATCCTGTTCATAACAGTTTCTTCGAGGTTCGTCCCCAACACTGCACTTAACACTCAGAGAAGTGGCAGGAAATATAGACACTTTTACCGGCTGTGAATGATTGTTTTCTCCTTTATGAAAGTCTATCTATTGTACTGTTATCTGCATGACTTAAGCAAGAAACGTTTCTCCCATTTCTCCTCTCCTCTCCGGATACTATATTGGAAAGCGAGAAGTGGATGGAAGGAATGGATTACAATCTACCTCTAAGTTGTATTACAGTTCCTAAAACAACTACTCTTGCTACGACCTAACAACCTTCAACTGTATCAACGGTTCTACTTCCTGATACCACTACTTCTACATCTACTTACCACTGGTTCTACATTAACATAATGCTGCTGTTGAAATCACCTTTGCTTTACTCCCGTGAGCTCTCGCTGCGGCTTTTGTTATGGTGTCAGACTATTGTTTGGTTGTCGTCTTCATGTTCACGTCTCAGTGTTTTAATGTTTGGAGGTAGAATGGCGATACCTTATGCTACAACCTGAGTAGCATCAGAGCAAACACCAGGCTACCGGTGGTCACTGCAATGACTACCACAGCCACCACTGCTATCTCTACCACTATTGTTATACCCTGGGTGACTCGTTGTTATACCCTGGGTGACTCGTTGTTATACCCTGGGTGACTCTTTATTATACCCTGGGTGACTCATTGATATACCCTGGATGACTCGTTATTATATCCTGGGTGACTCATTATTATATCCTGGATGACTCATTGACTCATTGCTATACTCTGGGTGACTCATTATCATACCCTGGGTGACTCATTATTATATCCTGGGTGACTCATTATCATACCCTGGGTGACTCAATATTATACCCTGGGTGACTCATTATCATACCCTGGGTGACTCGTTATTATGCCCTGGGTGACTCATTGCTATACCCTGGGTGACTCATTATCATACCCTGGGTGACTCATCATTATACCCTGGGTGACTCATCATTATACCCTGGGTGACTCATTATCATACCCTGGGTGACTCATCATTATACCCTGGGTGACTCATCATTATACCCTGGGTGACTCATCATTATACCCTGGGTGACTCATCATTATACCCTGGGTGACTCATCATTATACCCTGGGTGACTCATGTCAACTGTTCGTCCTGATGTGGTTAATGAGCTAGCATCAGAAAGTCGTTGACCACAGTTTATTCTCTGCTTATTAATTAGTTGAAGCCTATGTTTGTAAAATACTTCTCCAGCTGGGTCTTAATATATTGACTTCTCGCTAACAGCTTCAGTGGATTTGCTATTCAATTCTGGAATATTTCCGTTTATCAGAAAAAGTAACTCAGGTTTGTGTTGCATGTCTTGCTTGGTGTTATTTCCCTGTGTCGAATTATTGACTCATTTTGCACATCAAATAGTTCCTTTCTTCTTTCTTCTTAGATCCTCCGAAGAGGTGTGTGTAAATGTACGAAAGAACTTATGTACTATGTTATTATTTTTAACGTTAGCATTTTTTTTTGTATAAGTAGCCACAAGTTTTATTTTGATTTTATTGTCTATTTTTGACCATTTCAGAAGATGCTTAGTGGGTTCGGTGCTAAGAATCAGGAACGTAAACAAAACTCAATGGATCTGTTTAATGGATGCTTTTATTCGAAGAGATTATACATAAATTTTACCGTTTTAGTTTTAATTAGAGAAGCGACGGCTGCTTAGAGGCAATCATCTCTCCCTCTACCCATAAAGCGTTTAGGAACATGCATGCCAGTGTGAGGAGTCTCCGGCCTGAAGGTAGAACAGGTGTCGGCCAGCTTTGTGCAGCTTCGTTAGCGGAGGAATGAAACCAGTCAGTCGCCTCGATGGAATATAGTTTCTTCTCTCTCTTGGTTCCTCCGCTAGAAGGTGATACCGCGGCGGCGCTGCTCCTCGGCGACGCGGATCTGCTCGATGGCGTGGGGGGGGAGTGGGGGGCCCTTGGGGATAAGGTCAGACTCCGGGCGGTAACCATACTCATCAGCGACGTAAGTCAATCGTCCGGTGCCACCCTCGGGGAACGGGAAGCTGTGCAGAGCACAGTACCAGTTAAAAATAACAGATATATGACATTAATATTGTTTGATTCATGTTAAACACTAAAAATATTTAGGTTATTTAGCGCAAATTTTGTGGAGGCTTGATCCTCCGTCTGCTGGGAGCGATACAGACGCGCTTTCTATGTGTACTCACGTATATGTCCTGTAACCTTAAGAAAAACAATCACAAGGCGACTCTGATGTCGCAGAAATTTATAATGATGGCAAGGAATGATGCTACTCGAATAAATTCGATATTTTAAACTGTAAATACCGTGATATTCATGTTTATAGACGCACCAAAATTATTTCTTTACCAGAGCAACGTTTCGCCTTCATGACGCCTTATCAAGTACTTGGTAAAGTCTTCATGCAGGTGAAAGGTCGTGTTAATAAAGGGCTCATTTTACTGTTTTTTATATCTTCTTGTCAGCTATGTTATTCTTCAACCACATTTATTACAAAAAAAATCAGAAAGAGAACGACTGAATTAGCAGGAAACACAGACATATCGCTAACGGAAAATGTAATAAGGAAAAATCACAAGATTCCACACATTACAGACCTGAATCCTCCCTGTATATTGCTCTGGCCAGCAGAGCCAGGTGTGCCCACAGCGTGCACGTCGACACCGTGATCCGTGATGAAGTGGTATCTGAACCTGCCGTCACCGTGATCCTCCCGCGTGTCGGAGACGATGGCTACGTGCCGGTAGTCTTGACGGGGGCGCTGAGGAGCGGCGACGGCGACAGCCGCTAGGCAGGCGAGCACCACCTTGAGAAAGACAGACACATGTACACAGATCTCAGCTAGGAAGAAAAACTTAATGAGTCAGTGAAGGGCAAGTCGTGCTTTCGTACACATGTATATTCGAAGATTTCTCCCCTGCCTTATTTTTCAATGAATTCACTTCTCGTAATGACATAATTGCAAACCACGGTAAGGGTGGGGGATTGAACTTGCAGCAAGTGAGTCGTAAAAAATTATGCCTATTTTGATGAATCATATTGTAGCCAGGTGGCCCGGTGGCTTACGCGCTGGCCTGGAGTTTTATGACTTACTTGCAGCGAGTTCAATCCCCGCCCGTAACGTGGTTTGTTGGTTCACTTTTGAAGCCACGGAACGGGTGGGGCTGGAACCCATGGCGAGTGGGTCGTAAAACTCGTATCGTAGTTTGTTTGCAATCGCGTTATTTCGATTTCGTGAGGGATTTTACTTGTTTTAAATAATATATATTTATATTATATATATTATATATATTATATTTATATATATATATATATATATATATTATATTTTATATATATATATATATATATATATATTATATATATATATATATATATATATATATATTTATATATATATATATATATATATATATATATATGTCGTGCCGAATATGTAAAACTGGTCAATTAGCAAGAACTCATTTAAAATTAAGTCCTTTGTAAAATTTTCTCTTATACGTTTAAAGATATATTTTTTTCATTAATGTTGATGTAAAAATTTATAATTTTGCACCAAAAGGAACTTAAAAAACTTACCTAACCTTATTATAACAAGAACAATTTATTTTAGCCTAACCCAACTAAATATATTTTAGATTTGTTTACAATAATTTAATACTAAACAAACACAGTGAAATATATTTTTTTCGTTAGATTCACAATGATTTTGGCGAAATTATTGCATACACAAATTTTCACTTGTCCTATATGGCAAGATGAGCGTTGCTATTTAAGCCAAGATCGCAAATTCTGCCTATTCTGCACGACATATATATATATATATATATATCAGTTGACATAAAAAGCTTCCTTCTTGTTATCAAATTGAATGTTAAATAAAAACATGAATTTATGCTTAACAATCTTTGAAGGAATTATATAAACATATTAATATCATCAGTAATAACAATTGCAACATTATATCTTCCTTGAATTAAGAGGCAACTGTTTAAACATTGACACAATATTTAAGATGCTATTAACGAGCCATTTGACCTAAGTGCGACTCACATTAGGATTTTTTACCTGGCAAGTTGACAATAATAATTCTCTCTCTCTCTCTCTCTCTCCCTTTAGCTCTCTATGACCCTTAACGTTTTAGCCCTTCCCACGAAAGCAGAAACATTAATAATCTGGAATACGTTTACTCACGAAATTCATCTTGGGACACCAACGAAGAGAAAAGGCGAGCGAGGGAGGTACTTGTTGCCTCAACACCTGGTGAAGACGACTCCACCTCCAGCGACCCGCTCTATTTATATACAACTCGTCCAGGGCATCCCAGGGTATCGTCGACTGTTGTTCACGATTCCGGAGGACCCCCAAGGTCACGGGTGTCAAGAGGACAAGTTCCTGGTGGAGAGGAAGAGGAGGCGGCGCGCCCCCCGACCTCGCCCGACCTCGCCTGCCCCCCTCTCCTCCTCCTCCTCCTCCTCCCCTTGACCCGAGCAAGGAGATCCTTGATGGCCTGGACCTCTTGCAACAGCTTTGTGCATGCTAACGGGAGGATCTTGCAAGGCGGGTGAGTTCGTCAACGGCAAAACTCTTGCAACAGGGTAGAACACATTAACACTGAAGAACCACAAAAGAGAAGACACTCCCTAGAAGATCTGAGAATATAGCAACAGGAACCAACAGAAACAGGGTAGTCTTAAAAATTTTTTTAAGAGAAAGTTCTACTCGAGTTTTGCTAACGTTTCTTGGATGAGATTAACACTAGTCCTCCGTCTGTGCTTAATTTTTAATGGATATCTAGTTAAAACCCGCGAGCAGTAAAGGAAGAAGAAGACGAAGAGGAAGAAGGACGGAAAGACGGAGAAAAAGAAGAGCGAAGAAGATAAAGAATTATCAAGATAAACTTAACTTAATACGCTTGAAGTGTTCTGAGCCGGATGCAGTTTTTTGTTGTCCTCAAAAATGTGAGGCAGAAAAAGAGAAGAGTAGATCATATGTGAGCACATAAACGTACAAGGGGTCATATGTGAGCTCAAGGGAGTACATGTGGGTACATGAGAGTACATGTGAGCACGTTTGAATTCATGTGAGTACATTACTGGTTCAACTGTTTCTTACAGCACTCTGTTCCTTACAACGCCGAAGGGCAACCTGCTTCAGAGTTCTCTTACTCTACTGGAATGAAAGAATCTTTACCGAAGGTTTGCGTTACATCTCCTGCCACGGAGTTTCTTACCATTGTCTCGAATCACCATGCACTTGGAGTAGCTCCGCTTCTCTGACTACACCAAACTGGTTCGTAGTCTTGTAGATTTCTCTGCGATCTCTTAGTGATCTCCCGCTCCTAAGACATAAAGATTTCTTGAAGCCTTTTAATAGTAGTTTATGTTCAGACAGAACCTTCTTACCTTTCATTCCCAAGGTGAGACTCATATAACCCTTATGAATTTAGCGTTTCCCAGGAGTATACTACTACTACTACTACTACTATTATTACCACTACTACTACTACTACCACCACCACCACTACTGCTGCTACAACCACTACTTAGTAGTAGTACTACTACTACTACTATTAGTACTACTACTACTGCTACTACTACTACTACTATTACTACCACTACTACTACTTTTGGTACAATATATCAAAGAATATGAATCTCGTGTCCGGCTCCAGAGGAGCCGGACACGAGCCCAGTATGCAGCATACATTTCCCCTCTGGATGGCCACGCTGAGGCGCTGGAACATGAAAGTGGCTGCCCTTGGGTCCCTGGTGGTGTCGGTGAGTCTGGAACCCAGTTCTTTAAGGAAACGTGTGCCATTTTTTCCCCATAATCCCAAGGTCTCTGATCCCACTGGGACAATGTGTATATATATATATTATATATATATATATATATATATATATATATTATATATATATATATATATATATATATATATATATATATATATTATATATATATATATATATATATATATATATATTATATATATATATTATATATGAAGATGTGAGTGTTTTTGATGCTAGTGAAAGGTTCTTGATCCCATTAAATGACGATGCTCTTTCCTTACTTGGGTCCGTTCTGATTCCATTTCATTTCTCAGAAAAATTTACGTCATTGCATTCTTAGATGTCGCCGTCCAAGAATACAATAACAACTGCTAGAATAACAAATATAGTAATAATAACTGCTAGAACAACAAACACAACAACTACTAAAACATCAAATATAACAACAACAACAACTAGAACTTCATATACAATAGCAACAACTACAAAAAGTCTTGACTTAACGTCGTTTGATTCAACGTTGTTTCATTATAACGGTGATGAGACAATGAGAAAAAGAAATCAATTACCGGCCAGGAATGGAATTTATGGGAAGAATTTTACATATCTGGATGAAAGACTCGCATCGGCGCAACTCTCTATGTTCGCTAATGGCCATACAAATGAAATCTTTAAGTATATTGGAGATTTAAAGAAAACAGCTAAGTTCTAGCGCTGAAAGTGAAACCTTCCTGGCAAGTTGTGGTTGTTTTGAACGTTTTAAGAAGCGTTTAAAACAGCGTAACATACAAATAAC